CGCGATCAAGCGCAGACAAGACATTGCTTTCTTGAGGAAAGTCGATTACATTGAGCGTCTTTTCGGAGGGCAGACTTGGAGCGGAGCTAATCCATTCTTTCGGAACAGAGTCGAGTTGATGGGACTTTTTATCTGCAGCAATCTGTTGCCAACTTGAAGCCATGGGAGAAACTTCCAAGAGGGAGGGCCTGGGAGGCGGCGTTTAATCGTTGGCATCGTCGGCGGCCGAGCGGTTTTAAGGGTCTGGCGTGCTGAATCCACACCGGATTCCGAAGTGGGCCACTGTAAGCATGTCGGCGAGGTAGAACTTGCCCGCTGTGATAGTAGCGTAGTTGGTCGGACGTCCGCCGACTTGTATCACAAACCCGTCTGAGGCCTGAGTCACATCTCTTGTCACACTTGTTCTTCGGCATCGGCCGACACCAGGGAAACAAGGACAAATATTCTTCCTTGGTTCAACTGCTCTCGCCAATCTCGGTCTTTGCAAGATATTTGTGTGGAGTCAGGCCAAGATCAGACGTCTTCAATGCACGGGGAAACAAGGTCTATGCTAGCAGCTTGTTGGATTAAGTACGGGTTTACAGCATTCCCCTAGTCTCTCGCAGACAGACGCTTCAATACATTCTAAACTCGTACTAGCATTCCCACGACCTCAAGCATCATGGTTCCTACCAGTCGACGACCGCTAAGCACTTGCGTCATGCGGGTGAGCCACGAGTTTCACGCCCCTCACGTCTCCCTTCTGCAATTTTTCCAACCCCCCCAAGATCCCAGAAACCCCATCTGGCAGCACTTCATACCGGTTGCCCTACCAAGAGGGATGAGCGATCAAGCCAAAGCTGAACGCAGTCACGGCGTACCGTAATAATCCCCTTCTTTAGCATCTCGGACACGTTCTTGACCATCAGCTCCTGGCTCTTTTTGAACTGCTCGATCGTAGCGGGGTTTGGCGCCAAGCGGACAAACAGCAGCTTCTTACGTTCCACATCCTGGTCAAATGGCGCCGTCGGCTGGCAGGTGACGATACTTCCGCCCTCCATCACGCAATCGTACGCCGTGTTGAGTGCCGCCAGGTCTATGGTGTGATATATCACCTTGACTGGCGCTCTGAGAGCAGCGGCGAGGGATTCTAGGGGAACTTCGCCGCGATCGATGCATTCGGTCGCACCGAGTCGGCGAAGATATTCAGAATGCACTCCAGATGCGTACGTGACGATCCGCGAGAATCCGAGGGATTTCAACAACTGGATGGCTATATACTTTCGTGAGTAATTACTGACGCCGCCGATGAAACAGAAGAATCACGCACCGAATTGACCCACCGACGTCGCAGCGCCGATTACAAGCGCGGACCCGTCCTGAGGCGGTATGTCGCACGAAAACGTGGTATTAAGCCCAAGGCCAATGGGTGCCGCGGCGAATAGGCCTATGCACGCCGACGTAAACGCCATCGGAATGGTCGCTACTTCATCAAAACTCGCGTTCACTGGGACCTGAATGCAATTCAACAATATTTCAAATCCCACTCCATCGATCACGTACGGGGACGAGGAAACCTGCAACAGGAACCGCGGTGTACTGCCCGAACCCTCCCTTCACGGCTCTCCCGAACCTGAATAACGGTCGGTTCAATGATGCAATAATAGGCGGCGATCTGCGTACACTCTGTCCCCCTTCTTGAGACCTTCTACGCCTTCGCCAAGCGCTTCAACTGTGCCGGCGACGTCGTTGCCGAGGACTACCGGGTATTTATCGACCAGGATATTATACTCGCGTTGGATCCAGTTGGCAGGGTTCAATGCGACAGCCATGGTCTTGATGAGGACCTCCCCCTTTTCAGGAGAAGGAATTTCGCGCGTGGCCAGGACGAACGGAGCTTTGGGAGATTCAACGACGATGACTTGTTGAGTAGGCATGGGGGTAGTTGAGTTGTATTGCTGGCAGAAAATGACGCGTTTATATAGGTTCAAGAGGGTCATCCGCGCTGAGTAGTTCGGAATTTTTTCCGAGGCTGATCTTGTCTTTGCGTCGAAATGGTGGCTTGTGTCCTCCGGCGCGGTGCTCCCGCCCGGTAGTTCGCGCACAGTTGAACGATGACACATTCGGTTTACTCATTTATATCAAAATAGAAGTGCAGTGCAGCAGTGATGTAAGGTATTGAATTCGAAAGTTCCAGGCTTCAAGTGGATACGACCATGTCCGCCCCTGCTGCTGCTCCTGCAGCCCAGGCCCCGGCCCAGCAAGAAGAGTCGACGTTCCGGAAGATATTTGGACTTGCCCAGGTCAGTCTACGGGCCTGGTAGAAATTCTGGTGGATTCTGAGAAAATTTCAGCAAGCGTTCCTCATATGGACTGTCTCGCAGTTAGGTTCGCGTCCCAGGCCTCCCAAATAACATCTTCTGACCCCCATTGTCGCGTGTAGCGTCCAAGTATCTTTTAATACTGGTCCTCCAGCCAAGGCGCCGGTACCGGCTGGTACACCTGGTGTACCGGATGTCGACCCGCGGACTCTGCCACCTGCACAGGCACTCCTCGCATGGCCCCTTGGCCAGTCGCTCGACATGCACGTCTTCCTGTCGACCTCGCCCATCGGCGACGTTTTCTCGCCGAAATGGACTTCCGGCTATCGAAAGGACCATGACGAGGGTCTGCCCAACTTTGTGTGGAAAAACATCACCTTTGGCGATTATAACGACGCACGGGTGGTAGAATACAACATCAACTTCCCGCAGGTTTGTACCTCGTTGGTGTTTTAGCTGCGTTTAACTTTTCCCTAGAGCGTATTAAACAACGGCTCTCTGTGGGCGGACATATTCCTCACAAAAGATGAAACGAACCCGGACCCCCAAAATCCTACATTCAACCCGGAGAACATCCACCACGTCCGCAAACGTACGGCTGGCTTATCCGTTTTGTGATGCAGCTCATGCTGCGTTCTAGTTCTGACGCCGCACATGTTGAGGCTGAAGGTGCGCAAGCAGCACAATCTCCTCCAGTCAAACGCCACGGAGGAACTAGAGGAAGTGCGTTAGACGCTCAAAGTATTGATCCTGATACTGATTCGCATCGCCAGGTCGAGCCAGACGTAATAACAGCGCACTGGCATAGTGTGAGCGCTCTCTCCGTTCTCTCCCAAACTTAAAGTTGACCCCCAACGCAGAACGTTACTCTCGCGCTCATCTCAGATGCCGCCATGGTCCCCTTCGGCTCCCTCCCGCCCCCCATCCTCGAACGTGCGTACATCCAACGTCTCCAGACAATCTGCTCACGGCGTCTCAGACGTGCACCTCGTCCCCGATGAGCGCGACGAAACGGGCACACGCGGCTTCTACAAGCCCATCATCTTCCCGAACGAGTTCTGGCACCTCCGCGACCACTACGTCGAGCTCAACGCCACGACGCCGCGCCTCCCGCTGCAGATCGTCTTCCAGCCGATGTCGTTCATGAAGTTCCAGGTGTTTGCGTCGATGACCCATGGGTTCAAGGAGGCGGTGAAGACGCAGGGCGGCGGTGCGGGCGCGGAGCTCGACGAGGTGAAGCGCATGCTGTTGGAGACGAACCCGTGGCTCCTCGGCCTGACGGCGCTCGTCAGTATCTTGCATGTAGTGTGAGTATCTCGTCCGTTGCGGCGTGCTGGACTCAAGTTGGTGCAGGTTCGAGATGCTCGCGTTCAAGTCGGATGTCTCGCATTGGAGGCAGAAGAAGGAGATGGTCGGTGTGTCTGTCCGGACGGTGTGTTTGTTTTGTTATTATGCTTCAGAAACCGCGATTTATTACATCCACTAGATCATCACGAACGTTTTCGTGCAGTTTATCATTTTGCTATATCTCATCGACAATAACGAGAACACCAGCTGGATGATTTTGTTCGGCTCGGGGACGGGTGTATTAATCGAGGCGTGGAAGGTGCGAAGCTCTGGCGACTACCTACTCGATTCGCGTGCTAACGATCGTGTTTAGATCACAAAGGCGGTCGACATTTCTGTGGTACCTGCTCCGGGTGCCCTCATACCCTACAAACTGGACATCAAAGGTTCGTGGTCCCTCGCAATTTGGTTTGCGCGTGACCAACGGTGCTCTCAGATAAACACGTCCTGAGCGAGGACGAGAAGAAGACGCAAGAGTACGCGGCCGCTACACTTCAGGCTCTAGTTAACTGACTGCTCGCGCAGATACGACAAGCTCGCATTCAAATACGTCTCCTGGGTCGCGATCCCCCTCCTCGCAGCCTACACCGTCTACTCGCTGATGTACGAGACGCACCGCGGGTGGTACAGCTTCGTGATCTCGACGCTGACGTCGTTCGTGTACATGTTCGGCTTCGCCCAACTTGTGCCGCAGTTGATTATCAACTACAAGCTGAAGGTCTGTGGTCCCATTCGGGGTGGTTGCCGACCCACTGATGTGCCGCCGCAAACAGAGCGTGGCGCACATGCCCATGAAGGCGATGATCTACAAGACGCTCTCGACCGTCGTGGACGATTTCTTCGCGTACGTTGCCGGGTCCTTAACTTGCGACCTCCCAGCTAACTGACGATGCCCGCCAATACACTAGTTTCTGCATCAAGATGCCCTTCCTGCACCGGCTCGCGTGTTTCCGCGACGACGTCGTGTTCCTCATTTTCCTATACCAGGTGCGTATTTCCTCCGTCCTCAAACATACAAACGTTCGGTGCTGACGGGACGGCGTGCACAGCGCTGGATATACCGCATCGACCCGAAGCGCGTGAACGAGTACGGGCAGGTGCTCGCGACGGATGTGGATAAGGCGGGTGAGACGAAGAAGGACGCGGCCGGCGAGACGAAGAAGACGAGGTAGACTAGGGCAGGTGTAGACGGGCATGGGCATCTATGTATTGTATCCACGACTAGTTTGAATTTCTTTGGCTGACCTGCGGTTTTATGGAACTGAGATCTGGCATGGTATTTTGAAGATGCGTTTTGGCCTTCCGGTACCACTGACTTTCTATGAATATCACTGTAATTAGGAAGCTCCTGTCGCATTAATGGGGTAGTGGTAACCTGGGTCGTTGCCATTCGTAGACTGGAATGTGCATACTCGACCCGCCGGGGGTTCGATTCCCCCTTAATGCATTCAAAATATCCTACTTTTTCTTCTCAAACCTCTTACCTTTTTGACCTTCTTGCTTGAACTTCTCGGCTCTAGTGTATTCTTGACCACAAATCCAGATAATCAATTCCACCCTCATCCCTAGCTAGTGAATGAAACGATATTTGTGTCCTTCCTAATCGGGACGCAGGCGACAGTTGGTTGTCTGTTTTGCGTCGCTTGTGCCAAATCGCTGACCAGAGCCTCAACGACGATGTCCGTCAGGGTGCCCAGCTCTAGTACGTGCTGTGTCCTGGCCACCGTTGGATCTCTCAAGGTAGAGAGCACACAAACCCCCCGCTGCTTTGTTCGACATTTGGCGAGAAACCTAGGCAAACAGAGGCAAACTGGCAACGTCCAAGGCAAAGACCTCAAAGTTGTCGTTTTCTTTGGACGACAACGATGAACATCGTCTGGTCGAAATTGGCTTGAATTATGGCAGCACTGTCCATCTCTTTCGAACCAGTGAGTACAATTTTCTTGGCCATCCGTTTGCCTCAGGAACCCGAGAAAGCCTAAGTGCATTTAATACTACCGTTAATCATTCGAGTGATAATTCATTGGCCTCAAGCTTATAACTCCATTTTACCGCCGTTTTATTTTCCGACAATCCCGCACTTTCAGCCTTTCAGCCGCCAAGCATCGGAATATCCTTTCCACGGTTTTTCTGGTAGGTTATTTCTTGGGCGGGTCGGCGCAGTCGGGTTAGGCCCTGACACGACCTTCCAGTGCCGTCTGCCGGGTCGGTGTTCTTGGGTTGTATACTGGCGTTGGCGAACTTGAACATTCTTAGTTTACGGGCGGCTGCCGATGACTGATCGTCATGGTCAAATCACAGTGTGGGCTTTCCCGAATCGTCGGCGAATAACTGGTCGATCCATGCATATATATACCCCAGGTAACTCTGGTCGCCCTAGCTTTCCCAAAAAGATGACCATCAGCAAAGATCCATCAGCCACGCTCGTCGCCGTTGTCGGTGCCACTGGAACCCAGGGCGGCAGTGTTATCAATGCGCTGGTTGAATCCGACAAGCCCTACCGCGTCCGAGGTTTTACTCGCGATGCTGCCAAGCCCGCCGCACAGGAGCTCGTCAAATTGGGCGTGGAAGTCGTGGCCGTGTCGCTTGTTGTCGAGAATAAGGAGGAGGTTTACAAGGCCTTCGTCGGTGCGGATGTCGCTTTTGTAAGGTGATCTCTTCTTCTGTGTATGTCGTCTTGATGAAATTCTAGCTCGTCACCAACTTCTGGGAACATATTGATGTGGAGAAGGTACCGTCTTTTATGGCTCCATGCTTGTGCGGCGGCTGAGCATACCACGACAGGAAATCAGCGAAGGCAAACTCCTCATCGACGCCGGAAAAGCAGGTGGCGTTTCGCGCATCGTCTGGTCTGGCCTCCCATCCTTCAACAAGCTCAGTTCCGGGAAGTATGCGAATGTATATCACTTCGATGGAAAGGCTGTCATCACCGAATACGGCCGTCAATCTGGCATCCAATTCGTCGATGTGCAGGCCGGGTTCTACGGACAGAACTTCCAGGGCAACACCCCTTCCATGCTCGCGAAACAGGCCGACGGCTCGTTCGTCATTGCCTTGCCAGTGAAGCCCACCACCATTATCCCGTTCATCGACGCCGTCCACGACTATGGGCTGTTTGTGCGCCAGGTGCTCGAGGACCCTATCTTCCCAGACGGTTCCGAGATCGTCGCGCACGGCGAAAAGATCACCTACCCCGATTTGGCTCAGCAGTTGAGCGAAGGTATATGACCTATTTTAATATTGTCGTTTCCTCGCCAACACACCGTGGAATAGCGACCGGAAAGAAGATTGTATTCCAGCAGGTCTCGGTTGAGCAGTTTAAGCAGGGCGTCCAAGCGTTAGCTCTCCCCCCACATATTGCGTTGGATATGCTCGAATTTATGCAAGCTTGGGATGAATTTGGATGTGCGTACTGCCCTAATTTCTTGGGAAACAGGATTGACCAACCCGCGGTGTGTCCTAGGGGGTGACGCCGCACCCATTCAGAAAGGTCTGGCAAGGCGTCCGCGCATGTGGACTGAGTTTGCCAAGAACTCAGATTGGAGTAAAGCGCTAGCTTAGTTCACTTCCATTCAGCGTTGTATTGAATGCCTGATAACCGTATGAATTTAAACCGCGGATTGAAACTGCTAGAGCAAAGTAAAGCCCGAGGGGGTTTCCTCACGGCGCATGGGAGTTGTGGCAAGCCACAAGGGGTCGCAGGCCAGACTTGGCAGTCCGATACGGCCAAACGGTTAGGAAAATATTCGGCACTCGCAGGTAACATCTCGAAACGATCGTTGGTCACTTTCCCCGATTGGCACGTTCGGGTATGGACATACACCTTGGGGCCGAAAGTAACTACGTTTCGAGTACCCTGGCGATAATCTCATCTTTCTGAGTCTAGTGAAAGGGATTAAATAGATAAAAAACCCCGCTGTAGATTCATTACGTTCCATGTATCCCGTAACTGTTCCACTTATGCCTCGATATTCGTGCATATACCGTACAAGTACATCAGATTTTTTTCAGACATTCTCAAGGTGTTGCCCGAAGTTTGTCTAGCTCGGACAGCATTCCGCGCAGGCGCACCGAACTACGGCGTCAGCGACATGCGGGAACTGGGCGAGTTGCTGCACAAGTTCGAGTCCTACCTCTGCGATCGGTTCATCTGAGCCCGTGTGGGGCGCGCGCAGCCCTATTTATCACGCGGACAACATCGTGATGCCACTCCTCGTACGTATACTACATCGTTGTGGGGTATTTGGATCGTTTTATTAATCGTGTGGTATATATTCTTCAGGAGGAAGACGATACCGTCGTCCCTGCGGACCAGACGGTGGAGTTTCTGAGGAGATGGTGAAAAAGATCAAGGAGCGCAAGGGCAAGGTGGATCTTGTTCTGTTTCCGGGCGAAGACCACGGATGGCGAAAGGCTTTAACTTTTAAGACGGTTCTCGAGCGTGAGATGGTGTTTTTCAACGAGGTTCTTGGGTTGGAGAATATGCACAGCGGCGAAAAGGTGATGTAAAAGTCGCAAATCTTTGTATCCCGCTCGATATCTTGACTCCGGATGGCTCTGGTGCTATCTTGAATCATTTTTTCGATCAGAAATCCATCCAATAAAATCCAGGCCACTTTCTCAGTGTCCTTCCTAATCGGGGCCATGGCGGTTGTTTGTTTGCGCGTTGTTTGCGCTTATGCCATCTTCCGTTTGTTCCCAAACTTCGAGGTTGACCAGATCTGCAGAGCCATCGATGTCTCAGTCTGCCCACCTCCGAAAACGCCTCGCAGAGCTCGATGCCCAAATTTTCGAACAAGAACGCGTACTGGACCAGCTTCGGCAAACTCGGTCAGATGTAGAGCGCGAACTTCACGCGACTGCGACATATCCCATCTTGACGCTGCCTACCGAAATTACAGCCGAAATTTTTGGCCACTGCCTTCTGGTTTTTGGCGCATGCACCATCCCCCACACTTACAAAAGATCGGCCCCGATTATCCTTTCCGCCGTTTGCCGTGCGTGGAGAGACATTGCTCTCGCTACGCCCATACTTTGGTCAGAACTGCACATTCGGTTCGATGAACTTGCCACCGATGTGGTAACAAACGCGGGTTTGGTAGAGAACTCGCTCAACTTATGGTTGGCCCGTGCGGGAAGCCGTCCTTTATCGCTGGATTTTATATCGCGAAAGGGGAACCGCTTTGCACTCAGTCGCTTGCGAGACATTATCCACCGTTGGTCGCACCGAGTGGAAGATCTTTGCGTGGATATAGGCTGGCAAGATATTCAGACCCTGGGACTGGAATCCGCGGCATTTCCGCTGCTTCAGGGTGCGACCCTTGGATGCGACTACATTCCCGCCCTTACCTTCTTCGATAATTCACCTCGCTTCTGTGACTTGCGGCTGCGGAAGTCGTGGGCAGGGTTCATACCGAGCACATTTACGCAGCAGTTGACGAAATTTGAGGGGTCAATGTGGAACTTGGAGCTGCTGGCCCTGGCCCCCAACCTCACCGAAATAACATGTTCATTCGAACCTCACCCCGAAGAAGATGTGCCCACAGCGATAACTCATCACAATGTGAGATCGCTCGCCATAGTCGCAGATGAATCCGACGACTGGGCTGATATTCTACCATATCTCATTCTCCCGGCTCTACATCATTTGGACGTCTCCACCATGGATAACTACGACACACTCGAGTCATTTCTGGCTCGGTCCTCGCCACCCTTAGTCTCCTTGTCCGTTCAAGGCACCGCCTCCTGTTTCGACCGCTGGAGCCAATGCATGGCTCTCGTGGACGGAACTCTCGAGAACCTGGAGATATGGGGTGTCTCTAACGAAAAAATGCCCTCCATTTTCACCATTCTCTACCCTCTGCCAAACATCCAATCGCTGTGTTTTAAAGATCTGGAGGATCCTTTAAATCTTCATCTCTTGCTGCAATCTCTATACGAGCGATCCCGTAAACTGCGCTCGTTCACAGTTGATTGGGAATACGGCCGCTTTATCGAATCCAGTCTGATACCGGCCGGTCCTCCAATTTCTGACACGATTGGCGGTCACCTTTCCCGATTGGCACGTTTGGGCGTGGACATCGACCTTGGGAAGAACTATGTTTCAATTGGGTACCTTTTGACATTTTTCACCCGACAACGATCTCATTTTGCTTCAGCGATATTGTAATTGGACGACAAAAATTCTGAATCTGCGTAGCACTTCGGGCGGGTTGAGATGTTCTCGACAATCTCACTGTGGCTATTTCAATACGATTTTTACAGTGTCTCATAACTATTACTATCAAGTTGTGCAGAACAGAATTATTCTGGGCTTTCGCTTATGCGTCGAATGATGTTCTTCAAATATTTTACCGTTAAATTATCTCACTTCTGAAGTTTGTCTGGGTCGGACAAACCAAACACATTGCGATAATCGGCCCGCCGTTTAAACGTTCCTACATACCT